TCTTATGGTTTATCTCTGGTTCTTGCCCTACCTTAACTTTACCAATTTTCAGATATCGATTTTTACCGTTGCCGTGTTGTAAGTGTGAACGAGCGTTGATGGAGGAAATGATGAGAAACGGGTTCGAGTAAGTGGTTTATTGTTTTGATAAGATTAAGGATTTCCTCAGAGAACGTGTTTTCTGAGTGTCTTCGCCTTCTCAATGGGTAGTTCCGGCCCCTTTCATCTTTCCCCATGAGAGAGAAGATGAGAAAGAAAGGGGCTTGACTTCGCGCTCTGTTCTCCAGCCAGCTACGTTGTCGCCCTTTTCCATTTGATAGCTTCCGTAGTTCTGTGTTTTCCCTGATTTATCTCAACTTAAAACCTTTCTGGTCATTAGGATGCTCCCTCCTGTTGATTTAGCTCTTTCAGCTTCGAATTGGATGGCTTGTTATATTATCACAGTGGTGTAGTCTATGAGGCTGGTCAGAGTCCGTTGGTTGGTTGGCTGAAGCCGTGGATGCTGCCAGAGATTCTGAATGTACCAGTGCCAGAAAAGTGAGTTCTCGAGAGTTTTGTTGACTGTACTTTTCGAGGTTTGTGCGAGAAATTTCCATCCCATATGTGGTATCGAAACCCTACGGTCAAGAAAAAGAAAAGGGGTTATTTGAGGCTTTCTTTTTTGAATTTTTGAAAGCAAAACAGGGTATCGTCAATACAGTCCATATCGTCAACAGAAGGTGTGGAATGAGCCGTCCCGCGGCGTCTTCTACCACCGATTTTTTTTCTTCTCGGACCGATCAGTAGGTGGAAAAGTCAGCCCGGGCGCGCTCATTCCTCGGCTCCTACTCCGCCCCGATCGATTACGACATTCAGCAGACTTCAACTTAGTGCAGAAAATTTCAGGTTTTTAAATGAGAACTCGTTGCAACAGTCGTCACAACAGTTCATCGACGCTTTCAATATCGAACATCGACATACGTCGAAAATCAATAAAACCATGGAAACGGATTAAAAATACTTTGATTGGAAGTTCACGATAACTTTGATTGAAATGAGCAGATCAGGAGATCTGAGCTGCTGCGGAAGCGGCGTTACAGGCGTCGCGTGCGCAGCGTATGCCTGCGATTATGACCGGGGCTGCCGCGCGCGACTGACTTGGCCTCATTGCAGCTCGGATCTTCAGACCCGTGCCGTCTATTGATAGATTCCCTGTGATGAGTGATTTATTTCCGTGTGATTGCCTGTAGAGATGGATGAGTTCTTGAGAAAGTGAAAATGGCAGAAGGAAAGGGTTTGGGGTTTTTCGCGCGGTCTCCCCTCGATATATGGGATTCCGTACTTTGAAATTCGAAAATGTTCCAAAAATGGAATAGTACTTCAGAAATCATTTTCTGGCATGAAAAACTTGCCAAAACGGTGACGCTAAGGGATTTAGGTATTGGAGCCTAAGCTGCTCGGACTCTGTTCGTCTGTGCTCTGTCATGGTTGAGCCCGAAGAGGGAAACGGACTGTTATCGGTGAGAGGGCATGGAGAAGCAGAAATAACTGCGCTCGTGCGTGCTCTCGCTCCCCTCCCCCAACTTCTCTTGGCACAAAAATGGAATAGCAACACATGACCGATGAATGACTGTCTACCATGAGGCTGCTCACTGCGCTCGTCTCTTGTGGCATCCACCTTTCCACTAAAAGGGTGGTCCGTTCCCCCCTCCTTAGCCTTAGAGTGTACCAGGTAGTTAGAGTAGACACAGAACTTTTTTGTTGCCTGCCCCTCCCCCATGGCCCCTTTCTGGCTGCGACGTTCTAATTGACAACACAATGCTTTTGAGTTTTATATATTTTCTCCATCCCAGGTTTGCCCTCACATCTATCGTTGTCAGTTCGTTCACTGTCAGTTTGAAATGACTTGTTTGAATTTTTACAATTTTTTGAATTCTGGCAATCAGAACCTGGTGAAACAGTACGAGACGGAGGTCTCTGCTGGCTAATCGCGCTTGAATTCTCGTGGGCATTATACTAACCTTGTTGATTGTATGTATTGGTTTTTCATGTTGTTACGTTGCATTATTGAAGCTTCTAGGCTTTTTTATTCAAAATTTTTGTTTGAAGTGACAAAACGATTTTTTTGGATGCTAATAATTTTTTTGTGTTTTGTTGGGTGTATTATTGGGTCGTATTTATTTCCTCAGTCCGAGCGAAAACACTTGTTTTTTTGATGTGGACCTAGGTTATTTTTTTGGTTGTTTTTTTTCTTATGTATTTTTTTTGGGCTGTTTTACCACCCAGTGGTGGCGTTGAATATGGCAATGATGAATGACACGATTGATTGTTTTCTAGCTAGGGCATATATCATCATTGCGAGAATTTCAATAAGGGCGGGGAGGGGGGGGGAGAGAAGGGAGGGTCGTATTTGGTCGCCTAACTTTGCCTATGAGAACATATTTTCCGTGCGGGAAGTAAGTGCTTTCCGATATTAATCTTCCTCACAACTGTTATCCTATGTCTATATTCCCACTATAATCGCTATATTATACCTCCTCCTCCTCCTCCTCCCCCTCTTTGGCCCAATGCCCGCCCCCCTTCCTGGTGTCCCGCTGGACGCTGGTTTTCCAGCTGACACAAGACAGTCATTAGACAAATCATTGAATCGAATTTTAGCAACCACGTTTTGTATGATAGCTGTGAGACTTTTCGTTGAGAGGAAGGTTGAGCGAATATAACTAGGGACCTTCGGAGCAGTTTGGCAAAAGGGGGAGGGGGCCATTTTTGTGCTAATGCATTGCTTCGCTCAGTTCGCGGCTTTAAGCAAGTCTCACTCTGTCGAAACCTGTTGAACTTTTTGTGAAGCTGGAGCAGGTCCGTCAAGCCATCCATGTTAAGTACCTCATGTGCAGCTCGAGAAAGAGATTAGCTAGATAGGTCGACACGTCGAAGGGAAGTAGCAAAAGTGCAAAATGCCCCATCCCCTTGTCGCCGAACTGTGCCAGAGGACTCTATGAGCAAAATTGGGATTACCGGTGAGCGTACCCCCTTTCGCCGCAAAATGATTTGGTTTCGGCTTACTCGTGAGTCCCTTCCCTTAGGCTCGAGGCAACTATCCATAAGGGTGCCTTAAATAACACCTCTCTCAAGAAGATTGCGCATCCGGAAAGCAGTAACATTTATGGCGGCTTGCTTCCTGAAATTTGACGCTTTCAACGAGCAAAGACTCCCTTCCTCAATGTGGAAGGCCCACTCCTGTAAGGGCCACTTCGGAGAGAGCGAGTCGTATTAAAGGAACAGTTTCTGTCATACAGCACTATTAGTGTCCGGAAAGTTTTGAGAAATTCAACCAGCTCATTTAACACTTATCAACAACAATAAGAGATAGGAGTTCATAGTTATAATGAATATTGTCCATCCTATGTCCCTTACCTTTTGGGCGGGATTACCTTGCGTGGGAGCTAGAACTAAGCGAGTACTGAGAATGAGGGGCGTACGCAACATCTAAGCTAAACTTCCATGAAGAGACCGATTGATCTCCTAGTATAGATAATTTTGAAGCGCATTTTATCCAGCATCGGATACGGTTCCTCATTCCCGATTTGACCGATAAAAGAGCCAGAACGGTGAAGATGAAGTAAAAGGCGTTGGGAGTCGTGCGCGCTCGTACATTTTTCAGGTAATGTCAACTCATACCAACAATGGAGAATAATACCATCCAGCATTAGTGTTAATCTACAAAGATTTCCCTTTTCGTAGCACTTCACTTCTTCAAACTAAAGTGTAAAATTTTCTCAAAACTTTCCGGACAACCTATAATAGCCAGCAGATCTCTGCTGCCTAACCGCGCTTGAATCGTATTCTGTTTATGAGACATGTATTGGCTAAATAAACCCTAGGAGGGAATTACGGCAAAAATCAAGCCAAACTGAAAATTCGGAAAGGGCAACTAGGGCAGTGGATCGTGTAGCAAAGTTTCAAGGCAGAACTTACCCATTTAGCGGCGCAGTTCGGTTTAGAGGGGGCAGCAAATGGTACAGCTAAGTTTGTGCAAGAAACCCAGTGAAGACCTGTGAATTTGTGATCGAAATGGCTCACTCGAACATTTCACAGCATCACAGAAATTTACAAGTCTAGCCGAAGTAAGACTTGTTACTTTGGATGGACTAACGAAATGAACTAGCAAAAGTGGAAAATGCCCCCTCCAAGCTCAACAGCGCCCTTTCAGGCTCCCATTGTGGTCGTCTGCAATGTGGATGACAAACTGTGTTAGCTTACAGCTAGGTGTCCGCTCGTGACAGCTATCACACTCGATGTCGCTCTCGTCGTGCTATGGATAGGTGGTAGGTTGTATCCAGTTTCAGCTGCTACTATCAATCGTGTGATCACAGCCTCGAGCGGATCCGGTCGCGACAGGTGACAGATCGTCGTCGTCTGACGTCGCTCATCTTATCTCTTGGAAACCACCAGCGTTTGCAACCTGTAAAGCGCCCCAAACATTGCGAATATCGCACTATATTCGTCTGATAGCTATTTTTATTCGTTATTACATTATTATATGTTACTTTCCAATTCATGCAAATCCTTTTTTAGTACAGATGAACTTCGAGTCATTGTAGGGAACCTGAGGAAGAAGAGGAAGCCCTCGGCGCAGTTTGCCGAAGGGGAGGGGGTATTTTGCAGTTGCTTCACTAGGTGTGGTTTACAAGTCTCACCCTGGTGAAACCTGTGAACTCTTGTGAAGCTGGAATAAGCTCGTCAAACCATCATGGTAAAACCTGTCAACTCGAGAAGAGGCTGTCTAGATGGGTCGACACGTTGATGGGAAGTCGTCAAAATGCAAAATGCCCCCTCCCTCCTCCCCCGTCGCCAAGCCAAAATATGCCGAAGCCTTCCACCTCAAGGAAATCTCTTAGCCTTTTCCGTACCTCTTCAATATTTTGGAAGAAGCTGTTACTATCGTTATCAGTACCGCAAAATGATTGAGCTTTCAGAGACCTCTTCATCTACTCAATTGGCACGAACTGCCCCTGAGAAAAGCAAATACCGTAATCATCCTTTCCGGCTGACGTTAGACAGCCTCTACTCTTCAGTATCTGATAACCTTGAGATTTGCGCTATGAACTTGACCGTTTCGCTTGGCGAGAGAGCGATTGTAAATGCCGAAATGATGCACCTGGTTTCTCATGACCGTGATCGCTCTCCTCATTTTTGCTAAATGCATTATCGATAATAAGAGATCGATAATGCGACAGATGACGCTGCAAGCTAGTATCTCAGCTATGAGTGATAACAGTGCGCTCAGTAAGGTCTGATTTTTGTGAGTCTCCTAGATGCTGAAGTGGCTCATAGCATTCCTCCCCCCCCCCCCGTCCCCCAGCCCTAGAAGTTCAGTTAGACAGGCTTTCTCCTCGCCTGAATCAGAGTGAAGAGACTCTGAGTGCTCAGGTAAAGATTAGACGAAAAAGAAAAAAAGTAGCGGATTGATGAAAGAGGTGACTGTCTGTTCTCCATGCGGCGCTTGCACTGGGCGTTGCTAATCATCAATCATAAGCCCCTAGAGGCCTTGCTACGCAATTTTGGGCGCGCAACCTCTGCGCTTATGGACCAGACTACACCATACGTATAGGAAATGGTTTTACTCTGCTTATCGTTGACAGCAATGAGGCGTCAAGAGCTGTGAAGGCACTTCGGATGGGGTGTCAGGGGCTCATGGCGATGTATTGTTTCTGCGGAGTTTAGAAAAAATGGTCAATTCCGTTGAGCTAGGCCTAGTGGGCGGCCAGGGATCTTCTGGCTTGCTGCCTAGAACTCGCTCACAACAATCCACAAGCGAACTGTACTTCTAGGAGTTAATGAACTTCCAGATCATCCAAAATTAAGGAAGTCCTTGCTAATCCATTCCCATTCATCTTTCCCGTCATTAGATGCTTTGTTTTCTGCTGAGAAAGGTGGCTTTTTAGTGGAACAGCTGAACGAAAAGGTCATCACGTGCTGCAGGAGAGCACGTTCCCTCACTTCATATTCTCCGAC